AACTTCCTAATTACCCAGGTAACATTATTTCCCTTCTCAGATCTTCGATGGGGTTGAAGACTATATAAATGTAGTTACTTTTCTCTCACGACTTGGCCAAGTTATTTATTATACAAGACCTAAGCTAGTTAGAATAGGATATTTGTACTTATTGTATATAATTTTGTAGTAGGTTTAGAACTCTCTTAGTTAAACAAAAGGGGGAGGTGTTGCGGAGGTCCTTCCGTTCCTCCAACCAATAGCTGCTGAGATACCAGCCTATTGGGGCGTGGTCTCTCTCCCTTTAAAAAAGCTTCAATAACAGTAACAATAACAACAACAAAGCTAACTATGCTAACTCGGAAAACCAGAAGTCATTATGAAGACTTCAAGTCTCAATGTGTCTTTGAATGTTCCTGATGGACCTGTATTTACTTGTTTTACTTCCTCCAAAACGTCCTACTCCAGACAGAATCTAATGATCAAAGATTTAAAGACACAGGAACATGACTACAGTGATATCTGATAACACTATTTAACACTAACTTTAATCCTTCATTTAGTTTACCTTCATTTTGAGTAGAAAAATGAGACTGGACACTGTGTTCAGTGATCAAAACCAGCTCACTTTGGGAGAAGGAAGCCTGGCAAACATTTAAGCTATAGAAAGAGAGTAATCAATCAGCTAACCTAAATTACTACCCGGTATAACTTTAAAAGTAATATGGGCAGGGCTGGAGAGATGGCTCAGTGGTTAAGAACACTTACTGCTCTTGCAGAAGACTTGGGCTCAGTTCCCAACACCTGTAGTGATTTGTATTTTCACAAAGCTTGCCTGAAGATCAGAAAGTAAAACAGCCACACTAGTTACTCACAGAACGAGGGTGGTAGTGGTGCATACCTTTAATCCCAGCACTAGAGGGGAGGAGACAGGTCTTAGGCTCAGTCTCATCCTAAGGATTCATGGAGGCAGAATAGCCATTTTGGTGTGAAGTAGAAGTAAGAGCCAGTGGCTGGCTGCTTTGCTCTTCTGATCGTCAGGTTGAACCCCAATATCTGTCTCTGGATTTTTATTATTCGTGCTACACTCACATGACGAGGTTCAGAACTGCGAGTCACTCCAGTCCCCAGGAACTGATTCCTTCTGACCTTATTAGGCAACTGCTTATATTAGTGCACATAAATTCATGCAGACACACACATATATATAAAACAAAATAAAAACATCTTTAAAAATTCTATTTATTTATTTGTTTGTTTGTTTTTGGTTTTTCGAGACAGGGTTTCTCTGTAGCTATTGAGCCTGTCCTGGAACTAGCTCTAGGCAGATCTCGAACTTGCCCCCCCCCTCCCAGTGCAGTGCTGAAGACTAAAGGCGTGTGCCACCAGCTCAAGGCCAAAATAAAAACATTTTTAAACGATATAAACGTAACAAAAGAAAGCCATTTCTTTTACTCACTTTTGTGATAGTCTTTAATATGGCAACACGATCTGCTGGGGGTGGCAAACCTACAAAGAGCGTTTTGTCCAGCCGGCCTGGGCGTAGAATGGCGGGGTCAATGATATCTAGAGAAGAGAGAAATGCAAAAATAAGCCAAATAGAATAGTTCTTTTTTAAAAATGTAATTAATAAAAGACAGAAAGTTCTTTTTGAAAAAAAAAGCTAAAATTTTTGGTTAATTGGGTATGGTTAAAGCCAAATGGTCTGGGGCTGGGACAGTGACTTAGTTGGTAAAATGTTTACAATGCAAGAACTAAGACCTAAGTTCAAATTCCCAGAACTCATATAAAAAGCAAAGTATGGAGCAACTGCCTATAACATCAGTACTGGGAAGGCAGAGATGAGAGGATCCTGGTCGGCTAATCAAGCCATAGTGAGTTCCTCGTTTGGCAAGAAATCCTGTCTGAAATGCAGGTGAAGATTGAGGAAGACACCCTGCGCTGTTCTCCACATACATGCATGCACAAATATCCTTCCACACAAATCAAAAGCTACTACTTATCAAAACTGTCTTATGTTCCTTTGTGTTCCTGACTCTGAGTAGCTACAGCACAGGGCTGAGCTTCATACCGCCACAACACTGAGGCTAACTATAAAATTTTGACTTCTCCACCAAGAACCCATTTGTAAGCCAAATCTTTTTCAGTAGTCTGTACACCAAGACAGTGAGCACAAGAGGTACTGAAGGCTTTAACTTGTGTTTATGCAGGCAAAGTTAAGCACACGCGCGCGCACACACACACAGACACATGCGCACAAACACACACAGAAAACTCTCTATTGCGTCCACTTACATTTCATCCTTTCTATTATTCTTCGCTGATGTTTATTTTCCACCCTTGTTTCCCCTCGCAGTACAGAGCAAGCTGAGGGCCTTTTGTATGCTACGTGGCAAGTGCGCTACTATAAAGTGATTAGCTATTCTTTTAAGAGTATCTTGGCTCATGGCAAATTTTCTTAGTTCTTCACATAAGAAAGTATTCTGAGGCTGAGCGGGTGGCACATGCCTTTAATTCCAGTACTAGGAAGGCAGAGGCAGGTGGATTTCTGCGAGTTCGAGGCCAGCCTGGTCTACAAGAGCTAGTTCCAGGACAGGCTCCAAAGCTACAGAGAAACCATGTCATAAAAAACCAAACACACACACACACACACACACACACACAGCAAATACATGTTTATTGGACACCGAGTTCTAAGATGACAGTTTTTTTCAGCTCTTGAAAAGTATTATAACATTTCTCTCTAGCCTTTATTATCTTTTGATATAAATCTGCTGTCATTTAAATTTCACAGTGTATATGAGCACATGCAGGCAAAAACTCAACACACATTAAAAAGTACAAATGTTGGTGTTTAGTGGGGAGTAACGGCACATGCCTTTAATCCTAGCACTCAGAAGATAGAGGTACATAGATCTCTGGAGGCCAGTCTGGTTTATAAAGAGAGTTCCAGGACAGCTAGGGCTATTACACAGAAAAATCCAGTCTCAAAGCAAAAAAACAAAACAAAACAAAACAAAAAGAGTGAGGTTTTTTTGTAGCTCAGTAATTGATCAGAGTACTTGTTTATTATACACAAGGCCGTGCTTTCTATCACTGTGATAACCAAAAGCAACTTAGGGAAAAAAGTATTTATTTGGCTTACACTTAATGCTGCTAATGGCTTGCTCACCTGTTCATATTGTCAGCTTTCTCTTCTTCTAAAGATTTACTTATTTTTATTTTGTATGTTTTATGAGGGCTTTTCCTGAACGTATAGAGGTACACTGTGTATCTCTGGTGCCCAGAGACCAAGAAAGAGCATAGGCTGTCTTGGAACTTAAATTATAGATGGTTGTGAGCAGATGTAGGTGCTGGGAACTGAACCCGAGTCCTCTGCAAGAGCATCAAAAGTGCCTTTAACCTCTGATTCATCTCTCCAGCCCTGGCTTTCTTATACAGTCTTTATCCACCTGCCTAGGGAGGTTGCCTCTCACAGTTCAACACTCAAGATAATCTCTTACAGACATGGCCAAAGACTAATCTGAATAACTAACTATTCAAATGAAGTTCCTTCTTCCCAGGAGGCTCTAGGTTGTGTCAAATTGACAACAAAAACAACCAGCACAGAAGTCAATAGAAAAAAAAAAAAACATGAGGATCAGAAATTATTTTTTTAATTTAAAAAGATTATTATTATTTTATGTGTATAGTGTTTTGCCTGCAAATGTATCTGTGCATCACATGCTTGCAGGGGATCCCTGGGACTAGAGTTACACACAGTTGTTTGCGGCCTTGTGAGTGTTCACAACTGCTGAGCCATCTCTCCAGCCCCAATGTTTTTTTACTGCAGCATACACAAGAGCTGTATGAGGTTTTATTTCATGTTATGAACGCATTTGTGTAATGTTCTTCTTTCTTACCTGGCCTATTAGTGGCAGCCAAAATAAAAACTTGCTGGCGTGTTTCCAATCCATCCATCTCTGTAAGCAGCTGATTCACCACACGGACACTAGCACCTGTCTACAGAAAACAAAACATCCCCTTCAACATAAAGAAAGCAGCCTCCTTCCTCCATTTTCCCTCTGCACAGAATACATGTACTAACTTGAATGAGAGTTTATGTTGAAGATTACAGTGACTGAACCCAGAAGTCTCAGGTACTCAGAGGCTAAGGCAAGAGGATCACCTAAATCTAGGAGTATGGGGTCAATATGAGCAACAAAGAGGATCATTTTAGAAATATTATATAATATATATATATTATATATGAGAGAGAGAGAGAACAAGGTATGGATGGGAGGAAGACATGAGGAAGGAAAGAAGGAAGAAAGACAGGCTGGCAGGTGGGCCCAGTGACTACTTCTTAAAGAGTCACTACATACAGATACTGTGCAAAACACAATCATCAGTAAATTCCCCAATAAAGCTGCTAGTTAGTCAGGATGAAAAAAACTGAAGCTTAGAAGAGGTCACTTGTTTAAGATCTTAGCTCTGCTTAAGGGGAGAGATGAAACCTACCTATGAATCTTATGCTTCTGAATTATTTAGTAGTATTTAGTATAACCTCCATTTAGGCAAATCTCAGCTTCTAAGCTCTAGATTTCTCCCTATGTCAAGTGTCCCACATTTCAATGCAACACATACAGGAACATTGAGTACATTAAGAATTTTATCTTTTTCTTGAAATGAATGGTACAAAGTACGGCTATTCAGGACAACACCTAAGAGAATAGTTAGGAAGTTAAGTATAAGGTTATGGAGATATGAAAACATGGCAATAGACTACATAGACAATGAAGAAAATAAAAAAGTGGTGCTATGGATGTCATTATTAATTGCTTTTCTTCAACATAAATTTATGTATAGACACAGCAATGTGCTTAAACCAATTGATTCTTTTAAAAGGATGTACTTGTAGAGATTTATTATTACTCTCTGGTGACATAGTACTAATAATTAAGACATCACAATCTAGACACAATAACATCAAGACTCACTTGATTTTAGCCATGTGGTGGTGGTGCATGCCTTTAATCCTAACACTTGAGAGGCAGAGAAAGATGGATCTCTGCGCTTGAGGTCATCCTAATCTACACGGTTGTTGAAGCATATTCCTTACACTGTGTGAACACTGTGACTGGTTTAATAAAGAGTTGAATGGCCAATTGCTAGGCAGAAAGAGGTTAGGTAGGACGTGGGAAATGGTTAATGTAATATACTGTTCTTGGTTATTACATAACTGACAGATTCTTTAAAATATGACACAGTACTTACTATGTTTCAATATCTGAGCCTAATATTAATGTATATTATCTAAATCTAATGTATATACATCTTCAACCGTGATTCATACTCTCCAAATTCTATCCCACATTGCTTGTATATGTTTACAGAGATAGCAGATACAAATGTTTGAGAAAGTTCTGCTTGTAAAAAAACACTTAGAAGAAATATAAATATCTGCAACAAGGCATTATCAAGTAAATTCTGCTATAGCTAGGCATGGAATAGTATACAACAGGTAAAAATAAGATCATCAAGATAATCTCCATACTTATTTATAAACTATACAAATACGGAAAGAATTCTAAAAGGACACACAAGGGGCTCACAGTGCTAGTGTCAGCAACTTGCAAGAAGAGTAATCAGGTGAAAAAAAATTTCATGTTTCCACAAATGTGGCTTTTATGAATTTTTATTAAAAAATCTTCAATACTTACTTCTCGGTCTGATCTTCGAGGACATAAAGCATCCACTTCATCAAAAAATATCACACAGGGTGCTGAGTTCTTGGCTCGCTGAAAAACCTGTCGCACCGCACGCTCGCTCTCACCAACATACTGAACAGACACAGAAAGGAGATAAAATAAAGATTCAGTTCAATCTCGGGGCTGAATACCAAATGACAGCATGAGTAGTTTTATATTATGTAGATACGGTGTATTTATATATTTAGGAACATTAAACAATAATTAAGAAAGAGGCCAAGAATTTGAGAGAGAGCACACAGGAGAGGCACAGAGTGGTTGAATAGAGGAAATTTCAGGAAGGGATCAAATATTGTAATTAAATTTTAAAAAGTATTTAAAAATTGAAGTCATATAGATGTTAAGAGTTCTAGAAAGTATTAGTTTAAACCATATGCAATTGTTAGTATTAAATCATTTTGACATATAAAAACAGGCAGTTAGTTAGCTGTCTTGAAGGTGGTAGCACACTCCTATAATCTCGGTATTTGCAGAGTGAGATGGAGTGATGATCACCCATTTCAAACCAGCCGGAACTACACAGCAAAGCCCCCTCTTAAAAAATAGACAGCCTCCTGGCAGTGGTGGTGCACGCCGGTAGGGAGGTAGTGCACTGAACAGATCTTCAGGGTTAACCTTAGCTGGTTTTACCATCTTGCTGACCCCAGACCAGACATTTTTAAAGAAAAGCTATCAGGGCTAGGGAGATAAAATGTCAATTTAAGTTAGGGAAAGATTAGCCTTAAGTTCCAAAGGGATGGATTTAAACTTCATTAAGTGACAGAAGTGAAGCTAAGTGTGCCAGGAAGCAAACCCCGAGAGCAGAAGAGGAGTACCTGCACATACACAGTGGCAGAAGCATCAACAATGGCACAAGGAACAGAAGTGGTTCTCCTGAGCATGGACACACAGCAAACTCTAACAGACTATTGCAAAAGGCCAAGGACTCCTGACTGCTGTCCTCTCACCATGCCTACAAAGGCCGAAAAGGACCCCAGCCAGCTGATGAGGAACAAACACCAAAGCTGAGACTGGGGCACATGATTAAGGAGGGTCTACAGCAAGCCTCAAATGTATTGTTCTCTCCCCCCAAACTGAGCGATAATGATACATTAAGGTGCATAATATATAACTCCTTATATTCCTGACCTATTTCAAACTAATTTAAAAATCTTGTCTTCAAAATGCTTTACTCTTGCTTTAATTTAATGTATGCATTAGCATCTATTCTGAACACAGCACCTAAATTCTAGCTTGGTATAAAGGCTCTTTAGTATCTAGCTGCAACCTGCTCCAACTTCATCGTCTACCAAACTACTCCCATCAAGGCTCTTTATAACACATCATACTCTAGAAATTTAAAAATAAACAACTAAATAAATGTACACAGGTACATAAAAGCCCATAAAAAATACCTAAGAATAAACTTTTATAGGAAAAGTCAAACACACCAGGAAAGACAAAGACAGAGACAGACAGACAGATAGACAGACAGGGCTGGGATTTTTATCTGTAATACTGGAAAAATATGAAAGATGGGAGTTGCTAATGAAAGAGCAAACTTAGCTTGCCTGTTGAAATATGAGCGGCGGGGCTGCGTCCCCAACACCCCGGCCGCTTGGCTAGCTCATGCCCGAAATAACAACACACAAACTGTATTCATTTAAGAACTGCTTGGCCCCTGAACTCTAGCCCTTACAGGCTAATTCTCGCTCCTGGACTAGCCCATTTCTAATGATGTGTGTAAGCACCCCAAGGTGCGCTTACCGGGAAGAGTCTAGCCTCCGTCCATCATGGTGTCTCTGCTCCAGAGTGCAGAGATGTCGAGTCTCTCCGGGAGCAGAACAGAGTCTGACCTCACTTCCTCTTCCACCCAGCATCCTATTCTGTTTTCTCCTCCCATCTATGTTCTAAGCTGAGGCCAAGCAGTTGGTTTATTATAACTTAACCAATGAAATCAACAGATTGATATATGACACTCCCACATCACTTGCCCAGAGGCCTAGATCTGATCCTTGGCACCCAAAGAAAGAGCTCTGTTTGAACAAGCAGGATGAATATACTGTTAATCTCCATTGTCAACTTGACTGGATTTAGGATAACCTCGGAGACTGGGGAGAGCACACCTCAGAAGATGTCTAAGGGTGTCTCCAGAGAAAATTAACTGAGTGGAACGGCTCCACCTCATGGGTTAGAATCTAAGCTGTCCCACCATGCCATCTCTAGCATGGTGGCCAGAACCTTTCACAACAATGAAAATAAATTCCTCGTGTTGTTTCTGTTATTTTGTCAGGTCTAGGGTCACACCACCCTCAACAGACCTGATTTTGTTATTTTGTCAGAATGACAAGAAAACAAACTAACGCAATCTATTGCTGTTGTTGTTGCCTAAATATGTTACAAACACTGAATAACCTTTTTACTGTACATATGGGTGGCAGGAAATAAGAAATTCAGTCTCTTAAGTTTGATGTAAGTGCAGAAGACACAGCATTTCAACACTTCCTACTCCAATAGACCCTGCCAGCTACAAAGCTTCTCCACACTAAGCATTCCTTCGCTGTTCTGCACATCAGAGGAGAAATAACTCAGAGTTGGGGATAGCTCAGTTGATAAGTGCTTCCACACAGCATGAGAACTCAAGTTCAGTTCCCAGCACTAACTGAAAAAGCTGGGCACTAGGGAGGTTCATTAGTCAGTAGCATAGTCTCATAAGCCCCAGGTCTAGTAGTAAGACAGCTTGTCTCAAAACACAAGGTGGAAGTGTCCCAAACAACAACACATAAGGAAGACCCCTGGCCTCCATACGCATGAGTACGTATAACACACACAAACACCAACAATTCATATTTCACAAGGATATTCAAGAATAAAAACATCTGAAGTGTCTGATAAATAACATGAATACATTTTAATGTTAATAACTGTAATAAATCATTTTACTTTTTAAAGGTGCAGAAACTTGCTTGTAGGTTAATAGATTTATTCAAGAAAGCATTTACAGACCCTGTATATTATAGCAAACTCAGTCTTCCAGTGTCATAATTGATCTGAGAGCACCTACTCATCATGGTTTATCTTAAATAGCTGCTGCCATACAACTTACCATATTTAATAACTCAGGGCCTTTGACGGATATAAAATTTAGTCCAGACTCATTTGCCACAGCCTACCCAGAAGAAACAAAAAGATACAAATAAGACAAATAGAAAAAACATTTTGTACTTATTGGATGCTAATTACTGAAAGAAATTTTAAGCCGGATGTTGTGGCATGTATACACCTTTAATCTCAGCAGGCAGGAGGCAGACGCAGGCCATACCTTTGTGAGCTGAAGGCCAGTCTGCACAATGAGTTCCAGGTAAGCTAAGCTATTTTTAAATGGACACTGCAAACTTAAGTTGTAAAATGAAACCTTTAGAAAGCCACCTTGATGTACTTTAAAAACATTGCATTCTTGGGACTGGAGAGCCGGCTTAGCAGTTAAGAGCACTGGTTGTTCTTCCAGAGGACCTGGGTTTGATTCCCAACATTTTGCCTATTAACTGCAGTCCCAAGGGGCCAGATTCAAGAGGATTGGACACCTTCACACACACATACAAGCAGTCAAAACATGAATGCATATAAAATAAAAATTATAAAAAAAATGCATTCTAGTCACTGAAAAATGATTTAGGACTACATTTTAATAAAATTACCAGTGAACACAAGATTATATAGTGTAATGGGACTTTTGAGTCAAGGTCTCACGTGGCCTATGCTGGTCTCAAACTCATTGTGCAGCAGAGGGATAACCTTAAACTCCTGATCCTCCTGCCTCTAGCTCCCAAGTACTGGGATTACTGGAATGTACAACCATATCCGTATCATCATAAACTACAAAACATCTCTATGGCAAAACTAATAGAAGCATTAAAAAAAACCTTTAACATTTTTCATTACACTTACTTATGTTTATATATGTATGTGTGTGGTGTGTGCGTGCTTTACAGCACTCTATGGAACTCAGAGGACAATGTGGAAGAGTCAGTTCTTTCCTTCCACAATGTGGGTCCTGGGATTGAACTCAAGCAATCAGGTTTGATGCCAAGTGCCTTAACCTGCTCACTGGCCATCTCTTTAAAATACTGTATTCAAGGGCTAGACAGATCGCTCAGTGGTTAAGAGCACCAGCTGCTTTCCCAGAGGATCTGTGATTCCGAGCACCCACACAGCAATAGGTATGTAAGTCTTTGCAACTCCAGCTCCAAGGTTTCTGATGCTTTCTTGATCTCTCTGGGCCCCCGGCATACATACCACACAGGTAATATTAAAAACAAACAAACAAAAACAAACCTAAAAATATTGTATCCAGGAAATATTACTAAGCAAGAAAAGTGTATAAAGACCTTTTATTTGAAGTTAGGTATAGTAATACACATTTACAATCCCAGCACTCTGGCGGTTAAGGTAGGAGGGTGATCTGTAAGAGTCTAAGGCCAGCCTACGTAGGATATATAGGACATACAGCAAGAAACTACTCCCTATACTTAACATAAAAATTTTCTTAATTAAAATTTTACATTTTAGAAATATGGAATATATATATTATTACTATGGTTTAGATATGCAAGATTTCCTAAAGGTTTGTATGTTAAAGGTCTGGCTTTCTGCTAGCAGTATTTTGGTAAGTATTTGGATCATAAAAGATTTGACCTAAATGATAAATTAATTGATGCATTAATAGTCCAATCTTGCTAGGCAGTAGTGGCACATACCTTTAATCCCAGCATCTGGAGGCAGAGTCAGGCAGCGTGAGTTTGAGGACAGCCTGGTCTACAGAGTTCCAGGACAGTCAAGGCTACACAAGGAAAAGAGAATTTGATCTCATTACTGTAACACCAGGGGCACATTCTGGAAAGACGATCTTATTTCCAGTCTCTTTCTCTCTCTGCTTCCCAGCTGGCACGCGGTAAGCTACTTTCCTTTGTTATCCTTCTGCTATGTTCTTCTCCTCACCACAGGCACAGAAACATGGAGCCATTATCAGATACTGGACCAAAGTCTCAGAAATCACGAGGCGCAATATGTCCCCTTGTGATGTTTAGGTGTTTGATTACACCAACAGAAGCTCATAAACAAATTATCTTGCATATATTGTATCTTGATATGTATAAAGAAAAACACCTGGGACCAACTAGAAAATGAAACAATGGTAGTAGAAAGGCGTAGTAGAATTATAAACTTTTTTTTTTCATTTTGGTAATATATATTCTCTATTGCGAAAAGCTTTTTTAAAAAAGAATATTATAAAGAACACATTGAAAATATTCAAGTTATAATAACTGAACAAAAGCAAGAAATAGAGCAGCTACAAAGATGAGAATGGCTCCTGAGCAAATATGACTGGCGAGTTCATGAAATGTGTCCTAACTGGGAGAGACATAAGGCTTTCTGTCCTCAGGGGACAGACCCCCTTTTCTTGCTTCTTTCCTAGGAATGAGGGTGGCACAACAAATTAAAACCATTTTGTTAGCTAGGTGATGGTGACGTAACCTTTAATCCTTGCACTTGGGAGGTAGAGGAGGCAGATCTCTTGAGTTCAAGGACAGCCTGGTCTACAGAGCAAGTTCCAGGACAGCCAGAACTGTTACACAGAGAAACCCTACCCTGAAAAAAATAAATAAATAAAAACCCATTCAGATCTAAAGAGGGATATAAGAATGTAGAAAATTTTATTTAAAAAAAAAATCAGGGAGGCTGGAGAGTTGGCTCAGCGGTTAGGAGCACTGACTGCTCTTCCAGAGGACCCAGGTTCAATTCCCAGCACCCACATGGCAGCTCACAACTGTCTGAAAAATGCAGTTCCACGAGATCTGACACCTTCACACCAGTGCACATAAAATAAAGTTAAATAAATCATTTAAAAAAAAATCAGTTTTGCTAAAACAGATTTCTAACAGAAAGTATACAAAGGATGTATTTCATGTCATGATTCAAGCCTTATTATCCTCCTGAAGGCAAGAAAAGCAATGCATGCAGTTGAACTTCTACCATACCTTTGCTAGCAGAGTTTTCCCACATCCAGGAGGACCAGCTAGGAGGATGCCAGCTGGAGTCACCAAACCAAGCGTTCTGAACTGGTCTGGGTTGCGAACTGGTGCCTAGAACAAATAATGCCAACAGCGATCCATTATAGATACCCACTTTACACTGAATATTCAAATGCATCTCATCTTTTACACTTGACCGTGATCACAAGGGCTGAAAATGGCAGCCCCTGGCTGACTCGTTTCAGACATCAGGTACATGGTGACAAATAGGAAAGGCTCTCTTTTTCTTTTTTGAAACAGGGTCATTATGTAATCCTGGTTAGCCTGGATCTCTACATGTAGACCAGGCTGGTCTCAAGCTCAAAGATTCGCCTGTATCTGTCTCCTAAGAAGAGGGATTTAAGGACTATACTATCACATTAAGCCAAAGTCACCGTTCTTAAGGTGCAATTTATGAGAACATATTAGACAAAAAGATAATAATATTTCATTATTTTTGTTTTGTTTTTCGAGACAGGGTTTCTCTGTGGCTTTGGAGCCTGTCCTGGAACTAGCTCTTGTAGACCAGGCTGGCCTCAAACTCACAGAGATCCACCTGCCTCTGCCTTCTGAGTACTGGGATTAAAGGTGCACGTCACCACTGCCTGGCTTCATTATTTTTATAACGTGCGTGCTGAGGTATATAGACTGGAGGACAAACTATTGTGTGTCCTTGCCTTTCACCTTCTTTGAATTAAGGTCTCTTGCTTTTCTGTCGTGTTTATCTAGCAGGCTGGCCTTCCAGGGACGCTTCCTGTCTCTACTTCCAGTCTCCCTCTTGGAGTGTTGTGGTTATAGACATTCACTACTGCATCTGATTTAACATAGCTTCTGGGGATACAAACTTAGGTCCTTATCTTACCTGATGACTGAGTTATTATCCCAGGTCAAGAAAAACTACTGCAATATTCTAAAATCAAGTTTTAGAAAATCAACCAAATTTCTAAGTTATGAAAATCCAGGTACAGCTTTCTCCAGGAAATCATGAGACAACAGACCATGCACACAGTCAAATGCCACACATGCCTGTTCTCTGCAATTCTAATGTACTTTCACTTTTGATAGTACATACCCATTAAATGGATCATAATTAAATTAAAATGGTCAATAAGCAGAAAAGAAAAAGTAAACTAAAATCAACCCAAAGTTCCATGGGTGTAAAACTGCCTTGATCCTCCTGAATACAAACAAGACACAAAGGTGGTTTTCATACAAATTGGTCTTGTATGAAACCAGGATTTGTTTTCCTTGAACTCATAACCAAAATAATGAGTATGAAATATCTCAAGAGAATGACATCTCATTGTTGGGACAGTTAGACTTAAAAAAGGTGACAACTGAGGCTGAATTTCCAATTATAAATAAAATAATATCTCAGTAAAGCTACATTTCAAAAGATGTATTTGGGAACAATAGAAATGGCTCGGTGGTTAAGAGCACTTATTGCTCTTACAGAGAACCTGAGTTCAGTTCCCAGTACCCACAAGAGGGGTTCTCAACAATTTATAACTCTAGTTCCAGAAGATCTGATACCTTCTGACGTCCGCCAGTACTAGGCATGCGCATGTACACAAATACGCACACAGGTAAAATACTCATACACATAAAATAAAAGTCTGAATCTTTTTAAAATAATATAATCTGGTAGACATACATGCAGGTCTTTTTTTAAACTAGATCTTAACTCATGAGCAGTGATACTGAGAGCTGATATACCTACCAATATTGCCATAATGAGCTCTTCTCTAACATCTTCCAGGGCGCCAATATCAGCCCATGTCACATTAGGGACAGTTACAAAGCCTTCCCTTTTGGCAGAAGGCTGGACTTCCGCTAGAGCAACAATAAAATCATTTAATTCAATGCACAGTCCTTGCATCTGTTCCTGTGAGAGGGGATCTTGGTCTCTTAGCAACCTCAACAGCCTTTGCAATTCATCCTTTAAGACAAAGTTAAAGGAAAAAAGTGTGAACCACAATGTTACATGCAATTTAAATAATTATTCCAAGATTCCATATGTTATAGTGACTTTAATGAGCTTCTATATAATAATTTCTTTCTCCTTTATATAAGATATATTCATTTCATTCTAAGTAGATACTATATCTGGTTAAATAAAGATAAATCAACTATAATCAAGATATATAAATATAATTTCTAGGCCAGTATTAGTGGCCCATGTCATAGTCAAAGAGAGGAAGAGAGAAGACAAATTGATTTGATATTAAATATGTTTCTAAATTTTAAGCTAGAGTTAGATAATACAAACACAGGCAGTTGGATGATATCCATCTCATTAATTTAATTTCATTTCTAAGTATTCATAAAACAGCCGACTTAAGAAAATCTATGCTTGCCAGGTATTGGTGGCACATACCTTTAATCCCAGCACTCAGGAGGCAGAAGCAGGCAGATCTCTCATTAGTTCGAGGTCAGCCTGGTCTACAAAGCAAGTTCCAGGACAGCAAGTGCTGTTACACAGCAAAACCCTGTCTCAAAAAACCAATTAAAGGGAAAAAAAAGAGAGAGAGAGAGAGAAAAGAAAGAAAAAAAAGTTGTGCTGGCAACAATATAAATTTATAAGGTTCTTAACGCTTTATAAATCAAATACACAGTAGGCAGCTTTCCTAGTCCAAAGGGAGATTGCTTGCTCTGTGAAGATCATGAAGGGACAGGAAAAAAACCCCATCCTCAACCCCAGCCCTGAGACAGGGTTCCTTTGTGAATCCCTTGCAGAGGCCTTCAACTCATAGAGATCCACCTGCCTCTGCCCCCCAAGTACTGATATTAAACGTGCATGCCACTATCACCCGAAAAAATTTAATTGGTTAATTCATGTGGATAGGTGTTCTGCATACATCTAAGTGTGTACCACGTGTTATGTATGGTGCCTGCAAAGGCCAGAAGAGGGCGTTGGATCTTCGGGGACTGAAGTTAAAGACAGTTGAGAGTTGCCATATGGGCTCTGATATTTGAACCCAAATCTTCTGGAAGAGCTCTTTACCAGGGAGCCATGTCTCTAGTCTGTTTTAGCTCTTTATTCATCCTGTAATCAACATCTATATCGATTTATGATACTGTTATATTTACTGTGTGCTTTGTGCTAGGAAAGGTAATACTAGCAACTAAGATTAAAATAAAAGACTCTGTGTTTGACTCAGTCAGATTATCAAAGTAGGAAGATTATGCAGCAAACTGCTGCCATTAAAACCATCACACTCAGGCTGGAGAGATGGCTAAACAATGGCTGCTATTCCAGGACCCAAGTTCAATTCAGAGCACCCACATGGCAACTCACAGCTGTTTGTTAACTCCAGTTCCACGGGATCCAATGTCCTCTTCCGGTCTCCTCAGACAGCAGGAATGCATACAGTGTACACATATATATGTAGGCAAACAACCAGTATCATACCTGCTGAATGTGTTATTATTCAAGAAATTCTGATATTTATAGTGCTCTCTTACTTTTCCCAATAGTCTCACTTTACCAAGATCTTTAAATGCAGACCCTGATTTTTCATTGTTGTATTGAGCACTTAGAACCTGATTTCTCATTGTTGTATCGAGCACTTAGAGGCACTCCCAATAAATACTTATTAATAACGAACAGGCCAAACCTGGATTAAAGTAAGCCCTGAGTTTAAGTTAAATTCATATGAAAATTAAATTTGAGCAAAATGAGCTTTAAAATACAGTTCTGGGGCAGAAGAGCTGGCTCAGTGGTTGAGAGCACTTACCACTCTCGTGGAGGAACTGGGATCGAGTCCCAGCACCACAAGTGGCTCACAACCATCTGTAACTCCAATCCCAGGGCACCAGAAGCTCTCTTCTTACTTCCATGGGCAACAGGCACACATGCCTGCTCATATACACATGCAGGCAAAACATCGATATACATAAAACAATAAATTCCAAATAAAATGAAATGAAATATAGCTCTACTTAGTAGAGCCATGCAGTAAATCTCATAAAAAGCATCCTGCACTGATAAAGTTTATAGCATTTGCTAGTTTGTGTATGAAAATATCGTTATCTACCTGGAAATCAGGAAATTTAAGTGCTTCTGCATTTTTGTGAAATTATATTTTACAGATTAGAAAACCTGCGTTATGCCAGGCAGTGATGTCCCACACTTTTAATCCCAGCACCTGGGAGGTGTGAGGTCAACCTGGTCCGAATGGCTAGAGTCATTACACAGAGAAACCCTGTCTCAAATGAATGAATGAATGAATGAATGAATAAGAGAAAAACAAAACAAAACAAAAATACCCCACACAACTAAAAAACAAAATAAAAGGGTTGGAGAGATGGCTCAGTGGTTAAGAGCACTGGATGTTCTTCTAGAAGCCCTGAGTTCAATTCCCAGCAACCACAAGAGACAACTCACAACCATCTCTAGTGGTATCTGATGTCCTCTTCTGGCATTGTCATACATACAGATAGAGCACTCATACATAAATAAATAAATCTTCATTAAAAAATAAACAAATAAATACAAGAGAGAGAGATGGAGAGAGCACTGAAGAGCACCTGTGTTTCAGAAGTGGGGTCAGCCCCCCGCCTCTCCTCCTGGGCTCCTTTAGGGGGCAACCCTTCCATCTCAGGACTCTGCTGCTCCTGCTGATTCATCAAAACCCTATTGACTGCACACATGGCTGCCTCTCGGCAAAGTGCCATCAGATCAGCACCGACAAAGCCCGGTGTTAGATGTGCTAAGTGACAAAAATTGAAAGTTTCTGGAAGTCGCAGTTTTCGGCACAAAGTTTGAAGTATTCTGTAGAAATGACAGTTGAAAAAAATTTAGACCCGCCAGTCTAATAGTAAAAGCAAATTCCTAACTATATTTATTTGAAAGTTCATACTATATTAACCTTATTGATAGTCTCATGAATAAAATGGAAAAATCATTTACTCAATAAATGCTTGGTCACTGCTACATGCCCAAGTTTATCCAGAAAAACTTTTGCTAAATATCTATTTATTGGGAACTATGCTATGCATTATAAGGAATATAATAAGTACAGCCTTTAAAAAAAAAAAAATATATATATATATATATATATACTTTTAAGCGTTTTGCAATATTGTAGAGGAAATAGCTTATGGGGACACTTTCAGAGCAAACAAGACATGAACTTATCAGAAAAAACCTCTACACTCAAACCATACTTCTATTCAGCACCAAAAGCTTGCCCCCCCCACCCCCAAACAGTGTTTTAATGTGTTGCTCTTGTTGGCCTGCAACTTGATATACACAACAGGTTAACCTTAAACTGACAGAATGCCTTGCCACACAAAAAACCCAGGATAGCCAAAACAATTCTGTACAATAGAGGAACTTCCGGAGGCATCCCCATCCCTGACATCAAGCTCTATTACAGAGCTACAGTAAGGAAAACAGCTTGGTATTGGCATAAAAACAGAGAAGTTGACCAATGGAAATGAATCAAAGACCCGGATATTAATCCACACAGCTATGAAAACCTGATTTTTGACAAAGAAGCTAAAATTATACAATGGAAAAAAGAAAGCATCTTCAACAAATGGTGCTGGCATAACCGGACATCAACATGTAGAAGAATGAAAATAGATCCATATCTTTACCACACACAAAACTCAAGTCCAAATGGATTAAAAACCTCAATATTAATCTGACCACATTGAATCTCACAGAAGAGAAAGTGGGAAGTAGTCTTCAATGCATGGGCAAAGGAGACCACTTCCTAAACACAACCCCAGTAGCACAGACACTGAGAACAACAATAAATAAATGGGACCTCCTGAAACTGAGAAGCTCTGTAAAGCAAAGGACACAGTCAATAAGACAAAAAGGCAACCTACTGAATGGGAGAAGATCTTTACCAATGCCATATCGGACAGAGGACCAATCTCCAAAATATATAAAGAATTCAAAAAAAAAAAATCAGACATTAAAATTCTAAATAACCCAATTAAAAAATGGGGTGCAGAACTAAACAGAATTCTCAATAGAAGAATCTCAAATGGCCAAAGATACTTAAGGAAATGTTCAACATCCTTAGCTATCAGGGAAATACAAATCAAAACAATTCTGAGATTCCATCTTACGCCTGTCAGAATAGCTAAGGGCAACCATTACTTTCTATTCTACCATTTTAACTAGCAGGGTCTTTCTACATAGCCCTGGCAGTCCTATAACTCACAGAGATTCATCTGCCTCTGCTTCCCAAGTGCTGGGATCAAATGTGCGTGCCACCACCACCCGGCACCATTTTCTTTTTTAATAAACTGCCTCTACTTCTATCACTATCCACTTGTGTGTATGGGAAGCATATACTCTGGGTTATTTTTAAAAAAAAAAAAAAAAAAAAAGGAAGAGGACATGAAGTTGAGAGAGGATGGGGCAGGAAGAGGTGTATATGCAAGGAGTTAGGGCAAGGACTGGGAGATAAATACGATGACAACACATTGTATGCAGGTATGAAATTTTCAAAAATATTTTTTATAAAAAAAATAAATAAAACAGCTCTCCCTTCATGTATGTCGAAGATTTCTTATAAAACAAAAGTCGAGTTTGGGGGTGTGTGAGAAGTGTTTTAAAGCACTTGCTGCTCCTGCAGAGGACCTGGGTTTAATTCCCAGCATCCACTGGCCACTAGCAACTGTGTGTAAGTCTATTTTCCAGGAGATCTGATGCCCTCTTCTGATCTCCATGGGCAACAGGCATGCATGTGGTGCACAAACACACATGTGGGAAAAATTCTTATACACACTAAATAAACTTCGTTTGTTTGTTTTGTTTTTTCGAGATAGGGTTTCTCTGTAGCTTTGGAGCCTGTCCTGGAACTAGTTCTTGTAGACCAGGCTGGCCTTGAACTCGGGGATCTGCCTGCCTCTGCCTCCCAAGTGCTGGGATTAAAGGTGTGAGCTACCACTGCCTGTAGGGGATGGGGGAGAAATAAACTTTTTAAAAATTTTTTTAAGGAAAAAAAAATATCATGTTACCTTAAAACTTATCTTCTAGGGCTGGGGCAAAGTTCAGTGAAAAAGAAAGCACTGGTCTAGTTTGGAGCAAACTCTGAGTGCAACCCTAGCACAGCACTAAAACCGTTCTCTGGTCAGGACATTGTGTTAGGTTACATTAATTTACTCTCCACAGATCTTAAAGCTAAAGCACTGTTAGTATTTTACACATAAAGTAAGTTACTTTTTAAATTATTATTTTCATGTAAAATTAAAGGTTGGCATAAGACACTATGAAGCAGAGCTGGGATTACTTTCTGTATTGAATTATAGCTCTGAGATTACAGGCATGGACAACTTTGCTCAACTGTTCTACAAATAAATAAATATGAGTAATATGAATATTATTATTTTGTTGGAGATATAAAAGTATTAAGCTGTTTGAAGAATACATACGAACATAATTATTATCTATACAAATAATTATGAAGTCAACATCTTAGAAACTGTTGACTAATAATTATTTTTAGAAAAACGAAGTGACATCAGACACTGGGAAGAAGGAAAGGATGGACTAGACCTGTGCTGAACCTTTTACACACAGCGCTTTCTTACCACTTCCTCCACCTTTTCTTCTTCCCATCCCTCCAAGGCAATGATTTCCCTTCATTATTTATTACTTTTCCTAAAAGTAGCTAGTGACTATTTTAGCATCACAAAAAAACATTATAAATGTAACAGCTTTCAACATTCACTAGATTTCTACTCTACTACTCAAAACAAAACAAATAAAACCCAATGAGAGAGACAGACAAGAGATGGAATGCACTACATTGTATTCTTACTATTTACTTTCAAAACCTGTTGCTCAGCTCACATAGTGGAATATAAACAACGTCATTTTATGATAATGATAATATACCTTTCTCTGGAAGCCTCATCTGGGATACCCAGGCATACTTCTCGGTCAAATCTTCCTGCACGTCTTAAAGCAGGATCCAAAGAGTCTGGTCGGTTAGTAGCTCCAACTACTAGAACTCGAGCTGTAGCCGCCACGTTATTCAGATCTAGTGAGGACCAATGTTTATACAAATCATTTAAAGGTTAGAGAGAATTTGTGTACTTTAATATATAAATACTTTAAATCATTGTCTAATACAGTAAAAGTGTGAAGAAGATAGATTGCCTTTGGGCTGCAATTCACAGTCTACTAAGGACTATGAAGTGCATAATTAAGGAAACACTGTGTCAGACAAGTTTCAAGAAATTTAGTAACAATCAGGATAAACCAAGCACTGTAACAGAGCAATGGAGGAGGAGATGAGGCTTCTTAGGAACAAACCCTGCAGAAAAGCCTGACGGGCAAGTGTGGTATTACAAACAGAGCTAAACGTTACTGGAGTTCTAAGACAACAAGAGCATGAGTGAAAACACACAGGTGCACAGGCAATGCACACACAGACAATGTAAATGGCCCAGCAGTGGGAGAGAGGAAGGCAGCAATGTTGTCTCGCAAGAATGGGGGAGAACCAGACAGTGGGATAGAACATCCCAAGTTGCTCTGGCTTATTTTAGAGACAGATTTTCAGGAATAAACAGAATACAGGGTTTAACTTTTATCTTTCACAAATATTCTACCAGTTTTAGCTTTCATAAATATTCTGTCAGCTGAACCAGAATTAAACAGAGAGCGTTTAGGCTACCCTGCCTCAGGAAATAACATGGCATTCAAATGTTACGTATATTATAAATAATGGACCTATTTTATTAGCAAGAATCTATTAAAAGCTTTTCTCATACTATAGGTCTCAAAAACATGACCGAAAACTTAAGATGAAAATGAAACGGTATAGGGTACTAGTGGTGTAATTCAATGGTAGAGAGCTTGCAGAGCACACACCAGGACCCAGGTTCAATCCCTGGCATTGCACAAAAGGTAAAATACAACAAGTAATTTATAAATTGGCACAATAAGAAACTCATAATACATATTATGTTATGTAGTATTTCAAATTAACTTTCCATTTGTATTTTTTTGGTTTGTTTGTTTGAGACAGGGTCTCATTCTTTAGACAAAGCTAGGCCTGAAATATACTATGTAACCCAACCTAGCCTACAACTCATGGCAATTATCCTGTCCCAGCTTTCAATGTACTTGGGTAACAGATTACAGAAATATGACACCAAAACATATTCTATTTCTTTTCTTGTTTTTGTGATATATACCTGGCTGGACTGTAATTCACTATGCAGCCAGGTTAGCCTCAAACTCTATAAGGAAACATTGGTAGAAATGCTTAATTCTGCATAGTAAACTTAAAGAATATTATTACAGTTAAAAGAGGTAAACATAGGACTGGAGAAATGGCTCAGCAATTAAGAACTCATAGTGTCCTTTCAGAAGATCCTAGTTTGGTTTCAAATAACCAGCCCTGGGTGCTCAAAATGACCTGTAACTGTAAGGGATCTTATGTTCTCTACTGGCAATGCACTCACACATAAAAACCACCACATACAAACTTAAAGTACTTTTTTGTGGAAGTGAGGATAGAGACAGGGATTCACATTGTAGCTCTGGCTACCTGGAATTCACTGTATAGACAGGGCTGGCCTCAAACACACAGAGATCTGCCTGTCTCTGCCTCTGGAGAGCTGGGATTAAAGGCACCTGCCACCACATATGAGCAAAAATAAAAATATTTTTTAAAGACAGAAATAAAAATACATTAAGATTTTATTATTTCTCTTCCAAAGATATTCTTAAGGGACAACAGTAGGTACTATGTGACCCTGAAATTGTAGAAAGCAAAAGCAAAACAACATAATATATGCATATTTAATTACTACAGAGTTGAGGAGACAGCTTAGGTAGAAAATTATTTGGTACACAAACATGAGGTCCTGAGTTTAATTTCCAGAACCCACATTAAAGAAAAACAAAAGGCATGAAACCTGGCACACCTGTAATCCCAGTGCTGGAAAGACGGGGACAGGCAGATCCCTGGGGCTCACCAGCAGTCAGTCTAGCTTATCAGGCAAGCACTAAGCCAATTCAATTAATGATGGTCCCTAAATAATGATATCTGAGATTGTTCTCTGGGTTCCCTTTTCACATACACATGTAAACACTCCTGGCACACTCATTTGTACCCACATATATACATACATACACAGGCAGAGTACAACACAATTTGAAATGACTGGAAAATCTACAAAAAAGATCCTATTATGAGATTCACTATTTAAATGGTTCATAAATGCACATACGACTTGCATTATTTTAAGAAATATATTATCTTAAAACAAATTCATTATTTTAAACTGACCATCCATGCAGGTTAGAAGCTGGGCTACAATTCTTCGTTCCATATCTTTTGAAGCAACTTCTCTTTTGGGGGTAATAGCATCAATTTCATCAATGAAAACAATACAGGGTGCGTTTGACTAGAAATAAAAATAACACAAAGATATGACTATAAAATAAATTCTCTATATTGGTAGATAACGTTTATGTATTCTTTAGAAATTTAAAGCTCAAGGATCAGTCAAAGAATAACCATGAAAAAGGCAGTTCACAAAAATGCTTCTGATTGTTCTGTCCTAAGAGAACCAGATACTCTGAAAACGGAATGCACCATGGTTCTGAAATACCTTCTGAAATTCTTCTGTAAGTCAGATATATTTGCATGCTACATTTAAAAGCTTTAAACTAAGCACAGTGGCACATGCTATTAATTTTGGGCCTTGGAAAGACCAAGAATTCAAGGACATCCTAGGCAATGTCTCTAGTTCCAGGCCAGACTGGCTAGAGGAGATCCCATTTCACAAAACCAAAATAAAAATAAATTTCAAACTAGAAAATACAAGTTTGCTCAAATGATATGACTTTTTCTCTAACATAAAAATGTCAAAATTTGGCCAGATGGTGGTGGCACACACCTTTAATCCCAGCACTCAGGAGGCAGAGGCAGGAAGATCTGAGTTTGAGGCCAGTCTAATCTACAGGAATTCTAGGACAGCAAGAACTGTTACACAGAAAACCCTGTCTTTAAAAAAAAAAAAAAAAAAAAAAAGTAGGTAAGGAAGACTGCTTGCCACTAAGAATGACCAGAGTTTGAATCTGGGGATCACAGGGTAGGAGAGAACTGTCCTCCAACTTCTACATGCTAATGTAGCCTTGGCACATGTGTATGCCACCCCACCCCCATAAACAAATGGAATAAAAAACTTCTCTTTTAAAAAAAGTGATGCAGGGACTGGAGAGATGGCTCAGCGGTTAAGAGCACTGACTGTGCTTCCAGAGGTCCTGAGTTCAATTCCCAGCAACCACATGGTGGCTCACAACCATCTGTAATGAGATCTGGTGCCCTCTTCTGGCCTGCAGCTATACATGCAGACAGAACACTGTATACATAATAAATAAATAAATCTTTTAAAAAAAAAAGTGATGCACTGTGGAACACTTTAATATGGATAAAATGGGCAAAACAGTTCAGACTGGTAATCCCAGCAGTGACTAAGGTAGAAGGATTGTTATAAGTTTGAGGGCAGCCTGGAATCCAGACTGAGACTCTAATTCAACAACAATGACAATGAAGAGCTAACATAGTAAGTTTTATAAACATACATTTTACCACAAACACATAGTAATCAGAGTAATCAGGATTCAGTGAAAAACAAAAACCTAGGCTTACAACCTCAATCCACTCCTGAGTCAACAGTGACCCTAAACTCAAAGTCGCACAATGTCAGCTCAATATGACAGCGAAGTGACAGACATCTGGCCTATCACGACTGGCTTTCTTCCTCAATCTTCCTCATGACAATGTTTGCAAAGAGCACCTAGGACTGCTAGATCGATCAGTTACAAAGGTTACAGAGCAAGGTCTCAGAAAGCAAACCCATTATTTCCTGTCAGTGACCTGGAAAACTAAATGGGAAAGAATAAATGGTAATAATCAGAATTTAGCCTAAGGACAGGATTAATTTTAGAAAAGAAGTACCTAGCTCAACAAAGGTTATGTTTGTTATTCACTTGGGTTCAGGAAGAAGTGTTGGAAAAAGTGTAAAATCACATGCTTATTCAACACCTGCATCAAGCACTGTACTAGTTTACAGAGACTAAACTCAGAACTAAGGACTTAATGTGCCGTTTATCTTTGGATGCATGTCTGCCATTGTGTTTATCATACACACAAAATTTTCCATCGTGGTCTGAATGAGAATGCCCCCCCCACACTCACATACATGGGCTCATATCTGAATACTTGGTTCCCAACTGATGAACTGTGGGAAGGATTAGGAAGTGTGGCCTTGCTGGAAGCAGTGTGTCAGAGGTGGCAAACTCTGAAGTATCAAAAACACTACTCATTCTCAGCTAGCTTTGTCTGCCTCATGCTTGTAATCAATATGTAAGCTCTCACCAGGCGGTGGCAGTGCACGCCTTTAACCCCAGCACTCGGGAGGCAGAGGCAGGCGGATCTCTGTGAGTTCGAGACCAGCATGGTCTACAAGAGCTAGTTCCAGGACAGGCTCCAAAACCACAGAGAAACCCTATCTCGAAAAAGAAAAAAAAAAAAAAAAAAAAAACTCCATGAGAGTTGAGTATTTTTACCATTGCAGGTTACTCCAAGTAACAGCGTAGAGTAGATAGCCTCCTCCCTACCATGCTAGGTGATGACCCTAAATTGTCTCCAACTTTCTTAGTCAGAATACAGACAATTACACCCATACTATGCTGAAGATGTAACTTCAACTAGACCCAAATATCCTCTTTTAAATTTTAATAACAGAAATTGTAGTGAGCTATAATTTTTTTCCTCTGGTAAGTGAATTTCCTTTTAACCTCTAATCATATAAAGAGCAATTATCCTTGAGTTTTACAGTGCTTGTATAATCCTAAATATGATAATTCTATTGTTTGCAAGTTGTTTGGTCAAACATAAGCTAGAGAAACAAGGTGAATGAAATATCGTAAGGACAAGATGTTTTGGATATTAAACTCTCAGGTATGACAGCACAAAAATCATTACCTGTTTGATCTCATATGAAACAGATTACTTGCCAAGAGTCTGCATCATTAGAACCCACTTTAAATTTTTACTACTAAACCTTTTTACAAAAGGAAATCCATGAGTGGGATAAAGCAACTAGCATTAGAAAAGCTGAACGGGCAAGAGCTGACTCACCACAGCTTGGTCAAATAAATCTCTGAGCTTTTGCTCAGATTCTCCAGAAACTCCTGACACAATCTCTGGTGCGGCCACTTTCAGAATTGGCAAGTCAAGTTCCTGTGCACAAACATGAAGAAGAGTGACTAAAGAGTAAACACAATTTAACTTCCTTACATTTTCCCTATCCAATCTGCCCTGTCAAAATTAGGTTGTTTTGTTTAAGTTATTTTTAAAAAATTATTTACTATGCAACCATGAATGTATGTATCTGTGTGTGCCACTGTGCACACGTGGAGGTCAGAGAACCACTTGTAGAAGTTGGCTCTCTCCCTCCACCTTGTTGTTTCTGGTTTCAACAAGGCTCATCAAGCATGGAGGATGTTCCTTACCCCTTGAGCCAACTTTCTGGCCTCTACAATTTCCTAAGGAATTTCATCTTTGTGTGTGGGCACAATGACAAACACTAATAAAAGTTTAGAGAGATGGGCTCAGCAGTTAAGAGCACCCACATAGCAGCTTACAGCTGTCGGTAACACCCTCTTCTGACTTTCATGGACACTAGCCATACACTTGGTACATAGACATACATGCAGTCAAAGCACTCACAAATGTAATACAGTAAATAAATCGAAACAAAGTCATCCAGGTGGTGGTGGCAAACACCTTTAATCCCAGCACTCAGGAGGCAGAGGCAGCTGGATCTCTTTAAGTGTGAAGCCAGACTGATTTGCAGAGCAAGTTCCAGGACAGCCAGGGGTACACAGAGAAACACTATCTTGAACCTCCCCCTCCCCAGTCAATAAAACAAAAACCTCCAAACACCTAAGAAAGGCTGGAGATGAGTTCAATTCCCAGAAGGACATGGTGGCTTACAACCATCTATGACAGGATCTGATGCCCTCTTCTGGTGTGCAGGTGTACATGCAAAGCACTCATACATAAAATATAAATAAATAAAAATAAATCCATAAAAAAGAACGAAAATCTTTGGTTTGAACCACCAATTATAGTGGTTATACCTCTAATCTCAGCACTTAGAAGACTAAAGCTTTGGGCTAACAGTGTTGAGACCCTGACTTTAAAAGAAACCTTAGGATTTACCCAAATACATAAATGCAAACACTATATTCCAAGGTCTGCTATGCAGTGGCCATGAAATAAATTTATTTTTAAAAAGATAAATCAAATTTCCTTTAAAAAGTGAGAGCTTGGGTGGAGAGATGGCTCCCTGGTTAAGAGCACTAGTTGCTCTTCAGAGGATCTAGGCTCAAATCCCAGCACCCACACGACACTTCACAGCTGCCTGTAACCTCAGTTTCAGGGGAACCAAGACCCTCAACAAGGAATACATGCAGGCAAGACACCAATGCTTATTTAAAAAAGAAAAAAGAAAGAAAAGTGAAAGTCTGCTCTATTGATGATAGAATAATATGCTATTCTCTTAGCTGAAATTTCTTGGATTACTTTGCTTTTTACCATAAAGTAAGTTTCTGAAAAATCTGACATGACAAAATTAAGATTGCCAGGTTTTTACTTTGCAAAATAAATGTCTTTTTGTGGGCACAGAGATGGATGGAGTTGATCCAAGGAAGAAGCACACAAAATTAAAGCCTAGGCTAGGTAGGTTTGCAATCCTGCCTTACCCCACACATTTCAGGTGTGTGTTACCATGCCTAAGTAATCATTTCAAACTGTTTTAGAAAGGCATTTTAACAATGGAAATCTTAAATAAATTTAACTCCAAGAAAAAAAAAATACTTTAAGAATATTTTGCTGCTTTAAGAACAAGTAGGATAAGAAAGAGAGGTAACTAAAATGTAAACTAAGTGTTTAAAAGAGTTTGTAATTTACAGTTATGCTATTTTGCTTTCCACCCAATTTTTGTCAAAGACACAATAATTGTATTCATTAAAAAAACAGCATAAGTAGTGTCATGAGAAAAGGTGACAAAAGAAAGTTGGGGTTGGGGATGGCTCAGTCTGTAAAGTGCTTAGAGCATGAGCACCGGAGTTTAGAGCTGCGCCACTGATGTAAAAGCCGGGCAGTGGAGCTCCACATCAGGAACCCACAGACAGGGAAAGATGATCTCTGGAGTTTCCTGGCCAACCAGTCTAGGCAAATTAAGTGTGATCCAGGTTCAATGAGAAGCCCTGTCTCAAAACAACAACAAAAAGACAATGAGGATGCTGGGCGGTGGTGGTGCATGCTTTAATCCCAGCACTCAGAAGGGAGACGCCAGCCTGGTTTACAGAGTGAGTTCCAGGACTAAGAAACTCTATCTCAAAAAACCAAAGACAATGAGGAAGATGAGGTGAGAGGAACAAAGAGAGGGAGAAGAGGAGGAAGGGAAATTACTTACAGATCAGATTTGCTTCCTATAAAGATACCAGGGCTAATTGGAATTGACCAAAGAGAAAAATAAACAGCAACAACAACAACAATAAAAAAAATCAAACTCCAGTACAAATTTGCCTTACCCCAGCAATGGCATGCGCAAGTAATGTCTTCCCACAGCCTGGTGGCCCATGCAAGAGAACTCCACGAGGAGGTACGACACCAAGGTGCTGGTATACCTCTGGGTGACGCATGTGTATCAGCATTTTGCAGACTTCCTGTCAAGAAATAAGCATAAAAGATGTCTTCCTCAGTCCAAACCACAAAGAGTCAAAGTAGAACAAAATCTTCTGTTTTTTGGAACACTAAAACATACTAGATAGAACACAGGCTTTAGGCTTCCACTTGAGTTTGAATCCTGGCTTTGGTATGCTGTGTAAATAAATGATATCTCCACACTTCTGTTTCCCGAGCTGTAAAAATATCTACCTCATAAAATACCAAGAAAATTAGCTAACACAGAGACTGTAACAGAGGAGACACTAAGAAACTGTAGCCATTACTATTAGGACTGTCAGAACAGTATAACAGTTAAAGCATGTACTTTACACACACTAAAACTAAGATTCTGAAAGGACAGGAAGCTTCCTTTCTCTCTTGGCTCCCTCAATGATCAGGTTTGCTCATCGCACCTTCCCTGTCTTCTTTCTATATTCACTTCACACTAAAAGCCAAAGATGCAGGGCTGGAGAGATGGCCCAGTGGTTAAGAGCACTGGCTGCTCTTGCAGAGGACCTGGGTTTGTTTCCTAGCACCTACATGGTGGCTCAAACTGTAACACCAGTTCCTGGGAATCTGGCACTCCCTTGTAGCTTCTGAGGGCACCACACATGCAGTGGTGCACAAACATACATGCAAGCAGAACACCTATACACATAATTTTTTTTAAATATTTATTTATTTATTATATTATGTGTATAGCATTCCTTCCATGTGTGCCTGCAAGCCAGAAGGGGGCGCCAGGTCTCATTATAAATGGCTGTAAGCCACCATGTGGTTGCTGGGAATTGAACTCAGGACCTCTGGAAGAGCAGTCGGTGCTCTGAGCCATCTCTCCAGCCCCACACATAATTTTTTATTTAAATTAAAAACAAACAGGCTTTATTTGTGTAAATGCAACGCCTTTTCCCAACTGGCACTAACTTTTAATGTTGCGTCATTGCCTCCAACATCTTCAAACTTCACACTGGAAATCTGCAACTCTACACTCCTTGCTTTAGCTAGTAAAAAACAAAAAAGTTGAAAAGATTAGTGATTCCTTACCAAAGCTCCATTAGATTAAAAAAATAAAAAGTTTTCACCTAGGTATTTCCACACACAAATTGTTCTCAAAACAACTCAAAATAGTGAAGCCCTCTCTCAAAGCAAACTCAACCCTGCCACCTACTGCTACCCACTCACCTTTCTTTTGCAGAATAGTTTCTATTTCTCCATCTACTTCCTGAAGATCCGCTGTCTTTCTTTTGTTTCCTTTGCCCTTTGGCCTACCTTTCCTTTTCTTATCACTTTCCAGAAGAGAACCTTTTAAATTCTGGGGAGAAAATATAAACTTAAATATGCTGTACTTCAAATTACAATGCTAACAGATGGTTTTCAAAGGCAGCAATATATACACACACATTTGTGCTGTAGCTATTACCAATCTCTTTCATGCCTTTCTTCAGAAACCTAAAGGCACAGCTTAAATCTTAACAGTTGCTAACTTTCTTTCTAGGTTCTGCCAGTTGACCAGTTAAATTTATTTAATCTCTTCTAAAAGACTTAATACAGATAAACAATATCTTACCAATGTTCTCCATAGATGAACAGTTACAGCTTAAAGCAAAGAAAGATATTTGGGGAAAGACCCAATAATAACATAAAAGGAAAACCTATTCCCCCCAATACTTTGATGATGAAAATAGAAGGATCTAATAGAAGTTAAGGGCTTTCTTAGACATAAATTTCAACAATGGACTAAGCTACAAGAGACCCTATTTCAAAATCAAACAAAGATTTTTTTTTAAGTCCTTATCATAAGACCATGAGAACTGAGTTCAAATTCTACCCCACCCCCATAAAAAGCTGTGTCATGGGGTAGTTTGTAATGCCAGTGCTGGGTAGGCAAAGACAAGAGGGTCTTTGAAGCTTGCTAGTCAACCAGTCTAACAGAATCAGAAAGCCCCAGATTTAGTATGAGACTTTGAGACCACCACATGCCCCATGTAAGTGAGTGTGTGTGTGTGTGTGTGTGTATGTGTGTGTGTGTGTGTGTGTGTGTGTGTGTTTTAGACAGGGATTATCTAGGTAGCCTCGGCTGTCCTAGAACTTGCTTCATAGACCAGGAAGGCCTTGAACTCAGGCATGCATCACCACCAGCTGACTTTTCTTCCTCAAAAACCCCAAAACCAAAAAAGCCTGTATCTTTAGCCAGGCATGGGGGTGCACAGCTATAACCCCAGCACTCAGGAGGCAGAGGCAGGCAGATCTCTGAGTTTGAGGCCAGCCTGGTCTACAGAGTGAGTTCCAGGATGGCCAAAGATATACAGAGAAAGTCTGTCTCAAAAAAACAAACAAACAAAAAACAACAAAAACAAAAGAAAAAGAAAATACCTGTATCTCAGAATCTGGCTTTAAGTTGCTTTGGTCATCTGATAGGTCCAAGAGATGACTGTCTTTCTTTCCACCTGGGGTTTTGTCAATAAACCATCCTCCCTCAGATTCTCTAGCAGGGGTCTTCAATGGCATGATGCTCGTTTTAGAAGTCAGCAATGGTGTTGAAGTGGTGGCTTCTCCTTGGTCCAACTTCGGAGTGTTTGAAACAGAGTCAGAGTTTCCTTTCCGATACAAAGACAGCAGGGAGTTGTTCATGTGATTTGCTGACTGGCAGAAACATGATCTCATTTAAGTTACTCAGGAAGTATTAAAGCTTCAGTACCTAAACTAATAAGCTTTGTGTATTTTACTTTAAACAACTTCTCTCACATTTACAGGCAGAATACACAGGCTATTAGTTAATTTCCAAAAAAGTTTGTACTATCCAAAACTACTATAATCACTCTAAGGTAACAGAACCAGGCCAATTCATAATTGGTGATTAAATAAAATCAAGAGGTATAAAAATGGACCAGTAATCAGTGAGTCATAACTCAATACTAGATCAAATATAATGGAGTACTGTAATTACTTTGTTAATAAATTTAAGGCCTCATTTACCAAGGAAGGATAAACTAAGAAGCAACCATTAAGTAACTTGGCACGTTTTTGCTGTATCTTTTTATTTAGGTCTGTCATGTTGCCTCCTTGGCAGAAAGTACAGGCTGCCCTTGTACTTAGAGATCTGCCTGCCTGTGCCTCTCAAGTGCTGAGATTAAAGGTGACAGACTGGTGTATTTCTTTATTACCTGCCTTAGTATTCTAATCTGCCTTTCGTTTTGGCTATCGTTTTCCCTCCTTTTTCTTTATATAACTAATTATACAAGTGTAAGTACTGGAAGGAGGACTAAGCCATTGGTAATATGTACAGAAAGCATTCAATTACATATTGATAAAGATGAACAGGTCCTTCATTCTATTTTTGATTTTTCTTCTAAGAAAGGATCATCATGAGTAAGGAAAACAAAACTGGGGGCTGGAGTGATAGCTCAGCAATTAAGAACACTGGCTGCTCTTTCAGAACACCCAGGTTCAGTTCCCAGGACCCACATGATGATGGCTCCTAATTCTAGTTCCAGGATATCCAATGCCCTCTTCTGAACTCAGGCACCAGATATGCATATGGTGCACATACATACATGCAGATAAAACAGTAATATAGATATATACATATATATATTAAAAACAGATGAATCTTAAAAGAAAGGAAGAAAAAAAGAAAAAAGGAGTAGGCTCACAGAATGTCTGACTTACCTGTGGGTCTGGGTAATCTTCCATGTCTGAATCATCATCAGAATAGCTTTCAGTGTACCTAAGGAATTTGAGAGAGAGAGAGAGAGAGAGAGAGAGAGAGAGAGAGAGAGAGAGAGAGAGAGAGAAAGTAAAAAAGTTTTGAAGGCTTTTCTCTGATAACATAAAAAATTGCTATCTCAAGTAAGTTAGTATATTAAGGTAAACATGATAAGTCCAAGGGCTGGCTGGGGCGGGGGTGGGGTTGGTGCACACCTTTAATCCCAGCACTTGGGAGACAGAGGCAGGTGGATCCTTTGAGTTTGAGGTCAGTCCAATCTACATAGTGATTTCCAGGACAGCCAAGGCTACATAGAAAAACCCTGTCTTAAAAAATCAAAACACCCAAAAACTACAACAACAAAAAAAGGGAGAGCTGGATCAGCGGTGAAAAGCACTTGCTGCTCATATATAAGACCGAGGTTGGTTCCTAACACAATGACCTCTACCTCCAGCTTACAGGGTATATATGATGCCCCTTGGGGCCTCCACAGGTACCCACATATACATGGCATCCCCTAACACAAGCACACTCACTTACAATTTTTAAAACTTAGAATAATTTAAAACAAAACAATACAAATCTCAGATCAGTGTACGGGTCAACCATAATCAGAGAAGCTTATTCCATTATTATTATTATTATTATTATTATTATTATTATTATTATATTTTTTTTTTGAGACAAGAGTTTCTCTGTATTAACAGCTGTGGCTGTCCTGAAACTCGTTCTGTAGACAAGGCTGGCCTCAAACTCAAACAGATCCACCTGCCTCTGCTTCTGAATACTGAAATTAAAGAAATACACCACCACCACTCAGCTTGAGAAGTTTATTTGTATAGTAGATGAGAATCAGTACAGAGACCCACAACTGGATCATGTGCAGTGTAAGACTTTGAAGTACTCAGCTTTAAATGGGGTGTCTTCACCAAACCCCTCCCTTAAGGCTCAGGGATCTGTGCAGAGGAGGTAGAAAGATTGCAAGAGCCAAAAGTAGTGGATAAGTCCAAGGAAACAGTCTTCCAGACACAAGAGCACTGATGCACACATGAACTCACAGACACCAAGGCAGCATGCACTGGACCTGCACAGGTTCAAACTGGACAAAGTCCACCACCGGAAAGGAAATGGGCACGAGAAGTAATTCCAATTGAAAGCTACTAGGCAAGGGGGTATCACTGGGGAGATTAACCACAATCCAAGGAAAGCCCCATTTTGGGAGGAGTTAGTTGGCTAACATAAAACAAACTCCAAGTTTTCTGTGAGACCTTTCTATTTTGGCTTTTTTTTTCCTGTCTTAACTAGTTTTTGTTTACTTTAGTTTTCATTTTTTTGTTTGAGGAAGGTAAGGGAGGTGGGGAGAATCTAGGAGGAACTAGGGATCAAAACACATTGGTGGCACACACCTTTAATCCCAGCACTTAGGAGGCAGAGGCAGGTGGATCTAGTGAGCTCCAGGATAGCTAGGACTACACAGTGAAATGCTGTCTCAAAAAACCAAAACCAAGCCGGGCGGTGGCGCACACCTTTAATCCCAGCACTCGGGAGGCAGAGGCAGGCGGATCTCTGTGGGTTCGAGGCCTGCCTGGTCTACAAAGGGAGTTGCAGGACAGACTTCAAAGCTACAGAGAAACCCTGTCTCAAAAAAAAACAAAAACAAAGAAATAATAATAATAATAAAAATAAATCTCAGGAAAAAGAGATCAAAGGAAAGTGGGATTTAAAAATTCATTTTAAATAGCCAGGTGTGGTTGTGTATGCCTTTATTCCCAACACTTGGGAGGCAAAGAAAGGCTGATCTCTGTGAGTTGAGGCCAGCCGGATCTACCAAGAATGTTTGAGGATAACCAGGACTACACAGAGAGATGCTGTCTCAAAACTAAGCTAAATTAAAAATAAAAATTCATTTAACCACTTACAACCCTGTGCTTAATATCATGGAATATCAGCTTCCTTATCTATCAAATATAAGGACTGTCTCGTAATTTTGTTTTCATGTATACAGGTGCGTTTTGCCTGCATGTATATATGTGCACCGCATGTATATCCCCGAGAACTGCAGTTACAGACAGCTGTGAACAGTCATGTGAGTGCTGGGAATCAAACCTGATTCTTCTGGAAGAATTGAGCCATCAATCCAGTTACAAAAACATTTGCATTTTTAACATAAATGCACCAGCCATAACAGATTTAAACACTAAAATTTCTGCCATCTTTTAGTATACCTGGCATTATATTAAAGCAAAGAATAACAATGATGACAAGACAACTGTGCTGGTAATACAAAACAGAAAACAATTCCAAAGCCATATGATATAAAGATTACAGTAAATCTCTATAATCAAGTGTTAAGAGAAAACTCACAAGGGATCTAAGAAGATCAAAGACATCTTCACTGATGTTTGAAGGCTGAATGGGATTTGTAAGTGGAAATGAATACTCAAGTTACTGAAAGCCAGTCCAAAGATCTTTAGGGATAGAGAACAAGCAATACAACTGGAAGAACAGACAATGCAAGGCAGGAAAACGTTCAGGTACAACTGCACTGTTGGCCAAAAAGAGCCGCTGAAAGTTTTCTGAATATAAATGTGGGACTTTAGAAAAAGTGCTTTGTAATACTTACTCATCTTCTTCATCTTGTCTTGCTCTTTTTGCCAGATGTTTGTCCTCTAATTCTTTAATATTCTTAAGTTCTTTCTCACTACAAATGATGCTAAATACTGAAACAAATAATAAAATGTCATGAGTTAAAACAATTATTTCCATAAATGTTGATAATTCTGCTCAAACAGTGAAAGACTCACCTTTTTCTACTTGAATCCTAAAAGCATTTCTTTTTCTTCGGCCATAATCTACACTGGGAAAAAAAATTTTTTTTAGCACAGTTTTCAAAAATATATTCCACAAATCTTGCACACTATAGAATCCTTATTGTTCTTATTGGTTGATAAATAAAGCTGCTTTGGCCCATGGCAAGGCAGAACAGGGGCAGATGGGAAACCCAAGCAGAGGGTGTCTGGGAGACACCAGTCAGCTGATGAGGAAGCAAGACATGTAGAAAATGAGGCAACACCACAGCTACATGGCAATATATAGATTAATAGAAAATGGTTAATTTAAGATGTAAGAGCTAGCTAGTAAGTCTGAGGCATGGCCAAACATTTATAAGTAATATTAAGCCTCTGAGTGGTTCAGGAACTGGTAGGCGGGAGAAAAACAAAACAAGAAAACAAAGTACTTAATTTAAATGGAGACCTTGAAGTTGTGAGGCCTTTATTAAGCAAATGTAAGCATATTAAAATATAAGAAAGAGCACAACAGCATCTCAGACAATAAGGTAAGAATAACTAAACCAAACCAGCCCAAGACTAATTCTTTCCTAAATGGTGCTTAGTTAGGACTCAGTCAAGAGAGCTACATAACATTAAAAAGATAAAGGCAGGCCTGAGAGAACACACCTGCAATCCCTGTACTCTGGAGGCCGAGGCAGGAAGACTGTGAGTTTGAAGACAGCCTATAATACGTAACAAGAGCAGGCGATGGTGGCGCACGCCTTTAATCCCAGCACTCGGGAGGCAGAGGCAGGTGGATCTCTGTGAGTTCGAGACCAGCCTGGTCTACAGAGCTAGTTCCAGGACAGGCTCCAAAGCCACAGAGAAACCCTGTCTCGAAAAACCAAAAAAAAAAAAAAAAAAAAAAAAAATACATAACAAGACCTTGTCTTATAAATAAAAGATAAACTAGAAAATGACTAACTAAAAACATAAAACACAGGCACAACTATAACAGAGAGAGCCAGCAGATGGTTCAGCAGGTAGGGCTGTTTGCCACATAAGCCTAAACCACCTGAACTTGATCTCTGAAGCCCATAGAGGGTAGGAGACAACTTCAAAAACTTGTCCTCAGACCTCCACATGCATGATGTGGCATGACATATGTACATGTGCACACGGGCATGTATACACACAGAGGGAACATGCTGGCAGATTTGTTTTTTTGTTTTGTTTTTCAAAACAGGATTTCTCTGTAGCTTTGGAACCTGTCCTAGAACTTGCTCTGTAGACCAGGCTGGCCTGGAACTCACAGAGATCCACCTGTCTCTGCCTCCGAGTGCTGGGATTAAAGGTGGGTACCACCACCACCCGATCCCACTGGCAATTTTTCTAATTTAAAAAAAAAAAAAGGAAAGGTGTTTTTGCTGGAAAGCACTGAGACTCCATACTTGGACCCACGGCTATTAACTAAGAATAGGATGAAAGCCGGCATCTCTGCCCTAACTTCTTCTTGTTTCTGGCTCCTGCATGAGGACAGTAATCACTCCAGCAGTATCTACCTAATCTTTTTCATCCCCCTCTAGGCTACAAGTTTGAAGGCCAAGTTGGGCTGCACAAAACCTGCTCTTAACAACACAAAATCCAGAGGCAGGGGCAGGTAGATCCCTGTAAGGTGGAGGCCAGCCTGGTCTACAAAGTGAGTCCCAGGCCAGCCAGGGATATACATTAAGACTCTCAAAAAACAAAATAAAGCAAAACAACACAAACAAACAAAAACAACAAAAAAAGAAAAGTACCACTCACACAAAATAAGGGCATTAACAAGTATAAAAAAGGAAAGTGGGGGGGGGGGTGGAGAGATGGCTCAGAGGTTAAGAGCATTGTCTGCTCTTCCAAAGGTCTTGAGTTCAATTCCCAGCAACCACATGGTGGCTCACAACCATCTGTAATGGGGTCTGGTGCCTTCTTCTGTCCTGCAGGCATACACACAGACAGAATATTGTATACATAATAAATAAATATAAAAAAAAAAGGAAAGTGGTCAGATCAGGTTAAATAAATATGTTCTCTAAAGACATCCCTTCAATGGCTGTGGTTAGCACAGATGTGAAGACTGGTTTTCAATGGTGGTGGAAGTGACATCCCAAGAGGGAACTGTGACCCTGTGAGGGGCATTTCCTAAGTCACAAAGGCTGGAGAGCATTAAGAGAATCAGTGAGTGAGGGCAGTTACTGGGTATTCTAGCTTAAACAACAATTCTACCTAAAAAGCCTACTGCTCCTTAGCTCTCAGCTGTTCAGCCATTCTTTCGTGACAGTGAGAAAACCTGAGTTGAGTTACCTAAGCTGGGACCTGTCTGCTGTATACGTAAACCCATGTTGAATACTTTTAAAAGAACTGAACTTTGTAGGAATACAATTAGCTTATAAATTGAGAGATTCAACTGTTGTCTTTTAATTCAACCTGACATCTTCCTTCCTCTGCTTCAGGTGGTGGGCTTATAGATATGGCCACCAGGCCTGACTCACATTCCTTGACAGAGTGAGAGCTGAGGAAGAACACGCACCAGCTTTTAATTTTCTGATGAAACGGAAATGGAAGTAATATAGCAGTATCTCTATCTCCCGGCCAACTGAAGAGAAAATAAAAGGAAAAAAGGAGCCATTTCCTCCAGGGAAAGGAATCAACACTGAATATAGTAGATGATTACAGATGTTTGTATAGCTGATTTGGGATTTGGGTTTAATGAATTGGTAAGATAACACCAGCAGACATTGAAATCAACTGAAAAATTAAATAAAATGAGGTATTTAAAATGGAAGGGGAGAGGGATTTAAAAACAAGGATTCAAAAGTACACTTCTTTACCTGTACATTTTTTGCAAATCAGACGCTAAGATCCCAGTGTCCACGTATTTGCCACATCTATTGCTGGTGAGGTACTGAAGAGAAAATATGATTTCAGTCAGTAAATTAAGAGGTTGAATTATTCCAACACATACTTCTATGCAAGTTCCTCGGGAATAAAGTATACCACAAAATATAAAAACATATCACAAACATAATTAAAAAAAACTGTTATAATCTGTAACTGGATTTTTTTTTTTGGTTTTGGTTTTTTTTTTTTTTTTTCAGACAGGGTTTCTCTGTGTAGCCATGCCTGTCCTGGAACTCGCCAGTAGACCAGGCTGGCCTCGAACTCAGATCTCCCTGCCTCTGCCTCCTGAGTGCTGGGAGGGATTGAGGGCATGTGCCACCACCAACCGGCTTAGAAGATTTAATTAACATACTTACCCACTAGAATATCTTAAGTAGTGAGGCCTTACTATACATCCTATGTTCTCAAACACACACGAACAAGCAGCAAATGTTTGACATCTGCCACTCACAAAGCTATCAGCTGAAGGCTGGGGCTGGAGACAGCTACTAGTGAGCAGAGATAACTAGGAAGTCGGATATAGAGAATTCAAGATAGCTGGCTGGTGGTGGTGCAGATGCAGGCAGAAATCAGAGTTCGAGGCCAGCCTGGACTACAGAGCAAGTTCCAGGACAGCCAGGGCTACATAGAGAAACTCTGTCTCGGAACAAAATAAAATAAGACAGAAACACAAATGCCTTTCGGGACGTGGTGGCAAAGCCTTTAACCTAGTATTGGAGAAACACAGGCAGGAAGACGTCTGTGAGCTCAAGGCTGGCCTGGTCTATCTGCATAGCGAATTTCAGGCCAGGCTGAGCGACGACGCTGTCCCAATAAAACCAAAGAAAAAGAAAATTTCTCCCTCCCCTCAACTCGTGCTGCTGAGGACATCACTGAAGGCTGATATCACCACACAGTGCCCCCCAGCTACGAACATAAGAAAACACTGGCAAAGCACCCAGGCTCCCCCTTTTTACTGTTCCCCTAGAGTAACCGCAAGCTCTGGAATTAACGTTGAATTGTGGGCACCGAGAGCACTGGAAGAAAAGCCATTTCCCGACTTAAGAGGAGATCGAATCCTGGCCTCGATGAGGAGGGCAGGCCGGGGCCGGCGTCCACGGTGGGAACGTCCACGCACCCTGCCGGAACCCAGCCGCGGCCTGAGGCGCCGGGCAACCGCGCGAACGCCGAGCCGCGGTATTCTGGGAAACACACGCACCTGAATGACCCGCTGCTTCAGCTTCCCGTCTATGAACACCGCAGGCCTGGGCTTCATGCTGCCGGGGCCAACCGCGGGCACTTCACCTTAGCTGCAAAGCCTGTGGCAGCCGCCTTACCCGATGCACCGGAAACGGAGCGCACGCGTCGTCCCCCAGTACCGGAAGTGCCCCAGGACCTCACCCCCTACCCCCACCTCCAGCCCTGTGCGCACACCTTCTCCTCCGCCCTAGAGCTCCGAGAGTAGAGAGGCTTGCACTGCTAAGAAGAACTGGAAGACCTGGCAGTGCGCGCGAGTTTCTAACCCAGTTCTTTTTCAGGATTGCTCAACAGGGCCTAAACGGCTAGGCCCGCTTTGAAGACATTAAACTTTATTGGTTCCCAACTGAGCAAACAGACACGGACGCCAACCTTTGTGGCTGCGCAGACTCCCACTAGCGAGTAGTAAATTTGACGTTAAAGAAGGCTTAGCGGCACGTGCGTGTAACTTAAGTATTCGGGAAGTCGAGGCAAGGAAGGTTGCTGAGAGTTCAAAGGCAGAAGGGCCAAGTAGCAAGATGCTGTCTCAAAACAAAAAAGTTTGAATGTGTCACAGTCCAGGCTGGGAGCCGCAACATGTTCGTGGTTTTGTTTTTTATTTTGTTTTGAGACAGGTTCTCACAGTGTAAACCCAGAATGTGTGGAACTCAGTCTGCAGCCTGAGGAGTTTTTCCCTTAGAGACGTCTTTTCAGGCAAAACCATGAATCTTGACTTTGTTGGAGAAAAGAATTTCAGGAAGAACCAATAAGAAGCAGAATTGGAGTTTATTAAAGATACTTTCAACAGCCGGGCAGTGGTGCTGCACGCCTTTAATCCTAGCACTTGGAAGGCAGAGGCAGGTGAACCTCTCTCTCAGTTCCAGGCCGGCCTGGTCTGCGGAGTGAATTCTGGGACAGCAAAGGCTGTTACGTAGAGAAACCCTGTCATGGAAAAACAAACAAAAAATACTTTTTAACAGTCTTAAGCACAGTGGTTAATAGAGAGATCCTCAGGGGAAGAACAAGATGAAAACCGTGTGAGTATGGCGTCCTTCACCCTTAAGGGAGGATTGTGTGCAGGAGATTTTGCAGTGGGTATGTGAAGGAGCCTCTGAATTGTTATTGGTGTCTATTCTTAAGGTAAATTGTTCAAAGAGTAATTTACAATGAGGTTTAAATGGTTGTTAAGAAAGTTGGATTCATTCAAGGGGCTAGAGAAATGGCTCAGTGGGTTAAGAGCACTGCTTGTTCTTCCAAAGGTCCTGAATTCAATTCCCAGCAACCACACAGTGGCTCACAACCATCTGTAATAAGATTTGGTGCCCTCTTCTGGCCTGCAGAATACTAAGAATACTGTATACATAATAAATAAATAAATAAATCTTGCAAAAGAAAGTTGGATTCGTGAGGGAGAAGCGCTGAGAATACAGAATGGGTTGTCTTTTACTTTCTATTGTGAAACACACAGCCGAGTTAACTTAGAGAAGGGTTGGTTTGTGGCTCGTGTTCCAGAGGGATAACCATGATGGTGGAACAGAGAGTAGCAGGCAGGCGGCAGCTGGGGCAGCAGCAAAGAGCACACACATCTAACCATAAACAGAAAGCCTTGAACTAAATCCAATTGGTAGGAATCTTTTGAAACCTTAAAGCTTACATTCCAGTGACAAGGCCACACCTATGTCTTCCCCAGACAACCACGGACTGGGGACAAGTATTCCAATACCCAAGGCTGTTGAGGACTCTTCAAACCACCACAGTAACCGTGCCTGGCAGTCTTTATTTTTCAGTTCTGAATATCAAACCCAGAAGCCGCATAAATGATAGGCAGTCACTCCACCAATTGAGCCACATCAAGTGAACTATATCCCTACCTCCAAATTTCATTCTTCTTAATACCAGAATAATATCCCATTGTGTGTGTGTGTGTGTGTGTGTGTGTCCATCTTGGATGTTTAGGTGGGTTCCAACTTGACTCTTGGGAATAGTGTTGTAATAAAATATGGGTATTATGTAGGTATCTCTCGTGTACCGACATTCATTTGGGAATACACATAGGAGTGGATCAACTAAATCATACGATATTTTTAGGAATCTTCCTACTGTCTTCCATAGTATCTGTGTAATGATCTGTCCTGTCCCTTTAAGAGGAAAGCCCTGCCCACTTCCCCCACCTCCACTGAGGCAGGCAGATCTTCCTTCCTGCTTGCAGCCTGAGTCTCTTCCTTTTCCTACTCCCTCAAGAAGAGGCAGCTTCTGTCTCTCTTTTCCCTCCCCTCCCCTGCCCTCCCCTCCCCTTCCCTTCTGTCCCCTCCTTCCCCTTCCCTTCCATAACCCACTAAATAAATATCCAACCGCATTCTGCATGGCATGCCCATCCATCCATCTGTCTCTCACCTGCTGCCTGGCTCCCTGCCCGAGTCCAGCTTTCTTAGGAGACCTGCATGTACCCTCCCTGCCTGGTACCGGCTGCTCTCTGGACCCCCTGCCCGCTGCCTGCCCCCGCTCCAGGACCTGCAGCATGGTCTCATGGCGTGCTGCCCACTCCAGCCACTCAGGAACCTGCAATATTTTATTTTTCCCATTACAATCTGTAGTAGTTTATATTCCCATAAATAGTTCCTAAGGTGTCCTTTCTTTCCAAGTCCTTGCCAGCCATTGTTGTTAATTGTTTGTAGTAGCCTTTCTGACTGGAGTGAGATGGACTCTCAGCAAAGAAGTTATTTGTATTTCCCTGTATCATGTTGCTCTCAACAGCAGGTATAAAATTTTACATGCCATCAACATGTATAAGAATCCAATTATTGGGCTGGAGAGATGGCTCAGAGGTTAAGAGGATTGCCCACTCTTCCAAAGGTCCTGAGTTCAATTCCCAGCAACCACATGGTGGCTCACAACCATCTGTAATGGGGTCTGGTGCCCTCTTCTGGACATCAGGCATACACACAGACAGAATATTGTATACATAATAAATAAATAAATTTAAAAAAAGAATCCAATTATTGCTGGGCGGTGGTGGCGCACGCCTTTAATCCCAGCACTCAGGAGGCAGAGGCAGGCGGATCTCTGTGAGTTTGAGACCAGCCTGGTCTACAAGAGCTAGTTCCAGGACAGGCTCCAAAACCACAGAGAAACCCTGTCTCGAAAAACCAAAAAAAAAAAAAAAAAGAATCCAATTATCTAGCTAGGAGGTGGTGGCACATGCCTTTTAATCCCAGCTCCAGGACAGGCTCCAAAGCTACAGAGAACCCTGTCTTGAAAAAACAAAGCAAAAAAAAAAAAAAAAAAAAAAAGAATTTCAATTATTCAAGGGGAACACCTTGGCTCATTTTGTAATCCCAGCATTCAGGAGGCTGAGGCAACAGGATTGAAGTTTGAGGCTAGTCCATTCCACTTGGTGAGTTCCAGCCATTCTTGGCTATGCTGTGAGACCCTGCCTCAACAACAACGGATAACAAGTATTTCATGTCTTCAGCTGTTGTGTTTGTTTTACTCTTTTGGGTTTTTTTTGAGGGGGGCACCAAACTCCCAAATAAATCACATGGAGGCCTGTACTTTCTTACAAATGCCCAGGCTTAGCTTGGCTTGTTTCTTGCCAGCTTTTTATCTCTTTTGTTTAAATTTATTATGTGGTCTGCCTGTGTGTATTCCTGCAGGCCAGAAGAGGGCAGCAGATGACTGTGAGCCACCATATGGTTGTCTGGAATTGAACTCAGTACCTTTAGATGAGCAGGCAGTGCTCTTAACCCAAGCCATCTCTCCAGCCCTCTAGTCAGCTTTTCCTTCCTTCCTTCCTTCCTTCCTTCCTTCCTTCCTTCCTTCCTTCCTTCCTTCCTTCCTTCCTTTCTTTTTTGTGTTTTTTTGAGACAGGAGACAGGGTTTCTTTGTAGCTTTGGAGCCTTCCCTGGAACTAGCTCTTGTAGACCAGGCTGGCCTCGAACTCACAGAGATCCACCTGCTGGGATTAAAGGTGTGCGCCACCACGCCACCACCACCCACTATCTTGTCAGCTTTTCTTAAATTATCCTGACTACCTTTTGTCACTGGGTTTTTATCATTCTTATTTCTGTATATCTTACTTTCACTCTTACTCCATGGCTGGCTGTGTAACAGGGTGGCTGACCCCTGAAGTCCTCAGCTCCTTGTTCTCTTGCTCCTCTTTCTTCCCAGAGTTCTGCTAGCCCCACCAATCCTCGCTCCTGCCTCACTATTGGCCATTTAGCTCTTTATTAGTCCATCAGATGTTCATCAGCAAAGCATCAACAGCTTCACAGAGGTAAACAAATGCAACATAAACAAAAGCAACACACCTTACAGTCATATTCCCCAACATTCATCAACATGTATTTTCTGTTCTTTTCATAGTAACCATTCTAATGGATGTATCACTTCATTGTAGATTTGATTTACATTTTCTTAGTGGCTAGTAATATTGAAAGTTTTCATGTGCTTATCAGCCATTTGTATAACCTGGGGGAAATGTCCAGAAGTGTTCTTGCTCCACTGATGTTTTCTTCCTTTCTTTTTTCTTTTACCTCTCTCTCTCTTTCTCCATTCCATTCTCTCTCTCTCTCTCTCTCTCTCTCTCTCTCTCT